ACACATCTGGCCTGTGGCCTGTGGACCCCGCCCTGCCCTCACTTTGCCGTCGCTCAGGTTGGAGCCCTCCAGGCTCCGGGGCGCCGCCTTGGAGAGCTGGTAGTTGTACTGGAGCTGCTTCCCATACTGGACACACACAGGGGGTTAGTGGACATTTATTTATTTAATCAGGACAGTGCTCATTAACTCATTGGCTGCCAAAGACGTCTATAGACGTCAATTCAAATACAACCGCTAACTGCCAAAGAGGTCTATAGACGTCTTTTATGTTTTTCAACGTGAGTGTCTGGGGGACGATCTGCTAAAGCTTGTCCGTAAATATCGGCTTCTAGACAGAGTATGTAGTAACAAATTGACCCTCTAGGGGGCAGTGCCACTTTTGATGGGAGATGAGCATAGACTGTAGGCAAATAAGAAAAAGGTAACGGTTCTATGAGAGAACATGTCGCCGGTGAGACCCAAGTCCAGGAAGAACGGAATAAGGTAGAAACAATTTTTTTTTCCTGATGAAAGAAGAGAGTCTACTCTTTCTTTTGGTGTGTTCGGTGTTTACATAGTCATAGCACAAACTATTCTGTGGCTCTTGAAAAATCTGTCAAAATGCTCCAAAAACTCTGGCAGTGTGGGGCTCTCTGTTCGAAAATGGCTGCCAGTCAATGAGTTAATGAACAATCTTACACTTCAGTACAGATTGTAAATGGGTCAGATTATAGCATAGCTGCTAATTTACATCTGTAGTCCCGACAAAACAACACAAGATCACAAAATACAATACCAGTCAAAACACACAGACACACGTTCAGACGATGACATCACAACAATAAAATTAGTGAGTGCATGACTGGGAACTTTCAAGAAACAGTTTGAGTTGCTTTTTAAATGTGCAATAAGTGGGGCATTCCCTGATGTTTGTTGGGAGTCTGTTCCAGAAGTGACCCCCTCTGACTGGTAGAAGGGTTTGTCCAGAGGTTGTTACTCTTTTGGGGATTTCTAGGTTTCCTCTGGAAGAGTCTGCCAGGTCTAATGTAGGTAGAAAGTGGAGGTGGGGCTAATCCATTCAGAACTTTGTAAATTAAACAACTATTTTTATAATGAATAACGTTTTCACAATTGAGCATATTATATTTTTCCAAAATATTACACTGATGGAATGACAGGGGCTTTTGATCAAAGATTTTTAAAGATTTTTTTTAATAACATTTCTATTGGTTTTAAAGTTGTGTCTCCAGTGAGTGAGTAGGTTGTGATGCAGTAGTCCAGTGTTTTTCAACCACTAGTGTGTCGTTAGTGATGGTCAGGTGTGCCGTAGAAAATCATCCTATTTCACCTAAATGGTCTAAAAAGATTTTTTGATAAGGAATTAATTATCTGCAAATAATATGCCATTTTTGAGTGTCTGTGCTGTTCTAGTGACTGGTGGAGTAATTATGTAATAATTCCTTATGACTAGATTTTGTATTTAATTTTGCCTATTGAATTGGACATCTTAAAAGCAATTTCAAAGAAGAAATATAAAATATGATAAAAATACATTTTTGTGTTTATCTGATTCCTATTCAAGACACTTAAGATAAAATAAGAATAAGTATAGTTTTACTATAGGCGGCTACAGATTTGTTTGACATGTTTGGTTGGTGGTGTGCCTCGTGATTTTTTCAATGAAAAAATGTACCTTGGGTCAAAAAATGTTGAAAAACACTGCTTTATACATCTCTTGTTAGCGGATGCTAGCGGATGCTAGCGGATGTTAGCGGACGTTAGCGGAACCAACCTTGAAGAGCCTGAAGGCGGAGGTCCAGCAGGTGCGGGCCTGCTCGCTGTCAGCACAGAGCAGCTTCAGGTCCTGGACCCGAGTCGGGTTCCTGGAAGGCTGAAAAAACACAACTCTGGCTTAGTTTAGTTTAGTTTAGTTTAGTTTTATTAGGATCCCCATTAGCTGCCAAATAAATGGTTACTAGTCTTCCTGGGGTCCTCACATGAAAAAATTACATGACATTAGAAACAAACCATTAAAAAAAATTAAAAAATCACAGTAGGAAATAATAAAAACATAAACAAGATTAGAAATATACAACATATATACACAGGTCAGTTCATCATATCATCTGCAGTAGTTCAGAAGACAGTTTCTTTTTTAAGCTTGTTCTGTTCTGAACTCTTCGTTAGTGACATAATAATAATCA